TTTTCTTTTTTTTGAGTTGGAGTTTTACTTTTGTTGCCCAGGCTGGAGTGCAGTGGTGCCATCTTGGCTCTCCACAACTTCCCCCTCATGGGTTCAAGCAATTCTCCTGCCTCAGCCTCCCAGGTAGCTGGGATTATAGGCATGTGCCACCGCGCCCACCTAATTTTGTATTTTTAGTAGAGACGGGGTTTCTCCATGTTGGTCAGGCTGGTCTTGAACTCCCAGCCTCAGGTAATCTGCCCACCTCTGCCTCCCAAAATGCTGGAATTACAAGTGTGAGCCACCATGCCTGGCCAAGAGGTTTTTTTAAAAAGAAAAAAAATTTTCTATTATTCAAATGAGTAATGGCTTTGCACCATTTCTTATTTGTCAGAAGGGGTAAGATGTTTAAAATTGCTATTTCTTACATATTAAAATGTGCCTTTGAACAATTTCTCAGCTTAACTGCTTTTAGAAATGGACCAAAGTTTTGCCCATTGGTATGTGATGTTATGGATTAAGTGAAAGAATATGACACTGAATTTTATGTATAGAGTTCCAGATACCCTGCTCACTATAGGCTAAAATTTCATGCAGTCTAATAAATGAATCAGAGCCTTTCCATCTTCTCTGGGTAGTCCCTAGGTTTCCTTTTTAGAGGCCTGTTATTTTTAGAGTAATTATAAATTGGTCCAACAGTGTACTTTTCAGTGCCTCTTACCTCCCTCTTTCAAGTAGGAACTGCATACATGGCTAATGTATGATTTCAGCTATTATTGCTTCATGTGTGTTGTTCATTATTTTGTAATTGTTATTAAAATTAAAAACTGACTTGGAACATGAATTTTAAAATGGTGTTTTATCCTTCTAGTATTGAGTACGAATTTTGAGAAATTGGTGTCATCCAATGAGTTTTAGGATTTTTTTTTCCCTTAGAAATACATACATACATACATACATAATACATACAAAAATTTATTTGCCCTGTAGTTGTTTATAGTTTGTAGACTTAGAGGTTGGTCTCTCTAGTATGGGTTTATCTTCTAGAAATGATAAAGGATTTTCTGTTGCTTAAAAACAAGGTTTAAAAAGTAATTTGTTGATGAAAAGACCACCCAATATAAAACTAAATGGACAGTGGAAAAAATTCAACCAGAATGTAATATACATGTGAACTAAATGTTTTCTATTGCTGATGTTTTATAGGCTTCTGAAATTTAATGGGACTTTTGCAAGGTCTACCTTTTTTTCTAAAGTTTAATTTTGTTCTGTGACCGTTTTGGTCATATTTAAGAAGTTGACTTCCCCAACTTCCTTGTCATGTTTATTATGTTTTTTTTTTTTTGTCATGTTTATTTTTAAATATCTTTCTTTTTAAAAGTTGGGATATTACAATAAATATTCAGCAAGTATTGTTTTGTGTTTAAATATACAATCTTGTTATTTGGGTTTTAATACTTTATATGAAATGCCCTTAAGATTTATTAAAATTTTAGATTAACCGAACTCTGCTTTTTTGTCACATTAATAAGCAAGCTTATATCTGATGTAACAGCTTAATAAGGCAATAGCAATTTAAATTTGTCACGAGTATGAATTGAAAAACTATAACCATTTAGAACTCAGAGATTGAATATTTCATGGCATTTATATTTAGTGCTTTATATAATGATTAATGAAAAGAAGCAAAACTTAAATCAGTTTTCAAAGATGGATAGGTTCAGGCCAGATGCAGTGGCTTACATATGTAATCCCAACACGTTGGGGACCGAAGCAGGAGGATTGCTTGAGGCCACAGACTAGGCAACATAGCGAGACCCTGTCTCTACAAAAAAAAAAAAAAAAAAAAAATTAGTTGGGGCCCAGGCAAAGTGGCTCATGCTTGTAACCCTAGCACTTCAGGAGGCTGAGGTGGGTGGATCACCTGAGGTCAAGCGTTCGAAACCAGCCTGGCCAACATGGTGAAACCCCATCTCTACTAAAAATACAAAAATTAGCTGGGTGTTGGTGGCATGTGCCTGTAATCCCAGCTACTCTGGAGGCTGAGACAGGAGAATCGCTTGAACCCAGGAGGTGGAGGTTGCAGTGAGCCGACATTGTGCCACTGCACTCCAGACTGGGCAACAAGAGCGAAATTCCCTCTCCAAAAAAAAAAAAAAAAAAAGAAAATTAGTTGGGCATGGGGGTGCACTCCAGTAGTCCTGGCTACTCTGGAGTTGAAGTGGAAGGACTAGAGGCTATGGTGAGCTATGACTACCCCACTGCACTCCAGCGTGGGTGACAGAGCAAGAGCCTGTCAAAAAAGTAAATAAAAATGGATAGGTTCTTTCAGTTAATACTAGTGAGGCAAGAACGCAGTTTACAGATAATATAAACAGTGTTATTCCATCCAAACTCTCTTTTTCATTGTGCTCCCTATTCTCTGAATGCCAGTGTCAAATTTCAAGGGATTTAAGACAAGGAGAATTAGAATAGGAAGCAACTATCTTAATTCTCCATGTTTGCTTTCTCCCCCTCACCATCTCTGTCTTTCTGCCTGTCAGCTTTACCACAACAGTGAGGTATATACAGTTATCTTTGTTAGGAAAAAGGACTATCTTACCTCAGGGCCCTAGTCCCCCCAATTTTAATATGTTGTTTCTCTTTATTTTAAATGTCAATTCAGTTATTAGTCAATAAAATTAATAACAGAATGAGACCTTTATTTCATTTTTCTCATGTTTTTATAAAAGTTCAGTAATACCACTTTAGAATGGTAGTCCTTTGCAAAATATTTCAGGTATCTTCATTTATTCTTGTAAAACATTAAATTTTAGTCCACAGTATAGTCTAGATTTGAGGACTTTGGTTTTCATTTCAAATTTCCAAACAGCATAAGGAAAATCACAGCAGCTTACCTTTTTTTTTGTTGACAAATACTTGGCTACCTTCTCAAGTGCTAGATACCATGCTAGTGCTGAGGATACAGATGAATGAGATAAGGCCCTCACTGTAGAGCATATTTCAGTGAGAAGATGGGAGAAACAAATAGAGGACAGGGTTACACTTGGGACAGGATTACATAAACCCATCCAAAGTTGAAGATACATTTAATACACCTAGCCTACTAAACATCATAGCTTAGCCTACAGTTGAGCAAATAAAATCATCTAACATAAAGCCTACTTTGTAATAATGTGTTGCATATCTCATGTAATTTATTAAATACTGTATTAAAAGTGAAAAACACAATGGTTGTACAGTTTCTATTTAGTGTATATTGCTTGCACACCATCAAAAAGTTGAAAAATTGTTAAGTGGAACCATAGATAGTGAGGAACCATCTGTATGCAGGCAGGCAGTTACTGTATAGCACATTAAGTGTTGTGACCACATCGAAATATGCCTAGTCTTAGGTTAGAGAACAATCGATTCCCAGTGGAAATTGGACTGTGAGCCAGTGCCCTAAGGGACGAATAGGAATTAGCCAGGCCAAGGAGAAGGAGGTTGAGAATGGAGGGTGTCCAGCTAACGTAGTAAGTAGCCTGTGGCCACATGTCAAAGTATGGTGCCTTCAAGGAATTGTAAGAAGTTCAAAATGGCACATTGGAAGTAGGAGGCAAAAGAAAGGCCAGGAATGCTAAGAGATGAGGTCAGCTGGAAAATCTATGTCTTCACAAGCCTTATAGGCTATACTAGTTAAGGAATCTGGCCTTCAATAAAATTTTTGTTCAGGGTATAACTCAGTAAGATTTGGATTTAGAAAGACCACTCTGACTTCAGTATGCATGGTTTGTATTATTAGTTATTCATTCCAAAGGTCTTGGTGGCCTAAAGTAAGGGAAATGGAGATATACATACATAAACACATCTACACACATACATATATATTTGGGAAGAGGACTAGAGAGGGGAGGAATCCTAGGTTTCAGTTGAGAAATTGGGTAGATTGCAGTGCCATTCACTGAGATAGGAAGCATAGAAGAGGGAAAATGGGAGTTCAGATGACCTTTCGATTTAAAGGCGCCCATGGAACACCTGGGTAACATATCCACTGGGTAAACACAAATCTGCAACTTAGTGGTGAGATCTGGGCTGTGTATCAGTATTTGGGAATCACTTGACCAACTGAAGATAATTGAAATCTATTGTAGTCATGATAATTGTACTGAATGTAGAGTAAGAAGAGAAGGCCTGGTAGGGTATTATAAATAATGTACCTCTTAAGGAACTGGCTTACTAAGGGAATCTTGAAAAATATCTTAAGGAAGAAGAGCTGGTGAGAGAATAAGTAATGGTAAGTACTACAGTGGAAGTATTTAGTCACCTTCTTGAAAGTAAATATAGAGGCAAATTGGAGGCAGCAGCCGGAATGTAACGAATAAAAGGGATGTTGAAGAAGATTCTCTTATGAGCATCTTGTTGGAGAAAGAGAGTTGGTAGCAAGAACTGAATGTGGAGTTGAAGAACCACCATTTTTTCATTTCCAAAAAATTCTGCAGACCAGGTAACCTGGCTGTCTACAAAAAATACAAAAATTAGGCAGGCATGGTGGTGCGTACCTATAGTCCCAGCTACTCAGGAGGCTAAGGTGGGAGAATCTCTTGAGCCTAGGAGGTGGGTTGCAGTGAGCTGAGATTACACCACTGGACTCCAGCTGGAGCAACAGACTGAGACCCTGTCTCAAAAAAATTAAATAAATAAGTAAATAAAGTTTTAAAACTTTGAGTAATAAATATAGAGATAATTCTAGGAAATTCTATTAGGAGCCTCTCTGGTTTTTCCAATTCCTCTTTAGGGCCAAAATCCTGTGACCAGGGTTCAAGGGCAGGAGTCAAAGCCTTAGCCACTCCAATGCTTCTTGAAGTCCTGTTCTACCTAACTTTTGCTGGCCCAATACATCTTCACAGTGTTTCTGATAAGTAAGTAAAGTAGTTATGTTGTATTTAATTTAGTATTGGGGATGTGAAGAATCTGTTCTCCCAAACTGATCAATTCAGTCCTATTAAATACTGTGTATTTCAGACTTAAACCATTGGATATTGAGTTTATGAAGCGTTTGCATGAAAAAGTGAATATCATCCCACTTATTGCCAAAGCAGACACACTCACACCAGAGGAATGCCAACAGTTTAAAAAACAGGTGAGCAGGATGTGTTAATGCAGGTTTCTTATACCCTTCTCATAATTTGCAGTTTTTTCTATTTTTAGTATAATGTGTTACAGTCCATTCCTCTTTTTTACTGTATTGTCATTTATACTGTATTAAAAATAACTCTTGAATCTTCTGCCTTAGTTTTTCCCTTAGAGCTCTTACCCATTATCATAGTATCCTTATCCTTTGCCAGTTTTAAAAATATGGCTGTTTTAAGTGTTATTTAATAACACCCCCACACAATCAATTTCTCCCCATACTCTTTGGAATTATGTTCTTAGAATGAATTCCCAGGAAGAGGATTATTCTTTCAAAGGCTCTGATTGTTTTTATGGGTCTTTAACTCCCCACTCCCTACTTTGTCATGATGCTTTCCTGATAAAACAAATTTGTTTTATAAAGTGTACATCTGTTTCACTATGACTTTGCCAGCATTGTTTTTTTTTTTCATTTTGAAAACTTTTTTGGAATGAAGTGGTACCTAGTCATTTCTTTTCCTTTTATCTTTTCCTTTTATTTTCAAGAAAGGCTGAACATTTTAAAAACAAAGTTTTTTCTCTTTCCCTTTTTGTGAACATCTGTTTAAGTCTTTTGTCTTTTTGACCAGTAGTACTTGGTATTGCCCGTATTTTTTGATATGAGTTCTTTTTATTCTGGGTATTTAGTTCTGTCTCATTTTCACACTATTTTTTCTATTTCATCTTTTGCTGCTTATATCCTAATTTTGTTTTCAGGGTACTTTATGGGATATTTATAGTTTAAGTTATTTTTCAAACCCATGACCCTAAGAGTCTCATGCTGTATGACTGAACTAAGCTGGAAGACCACTAAACTGTTTTTCTAGACTCATATCTAGTTGTCTCAATAATATTCAGTTACACAGTCACACATATTTCTAATTTAATTGTGTTTGGTTAGGTATACATGACATTTTATGAAATGTGGCGTCAATTCTGGACCCTTTTTCTAGTCTAGTAGTCTTTATTTTTGGCCAGTGGTATATTGTTTAAACCACAGTAACTTTGTATAATACTTAAAAACAGATTATAATTATCTCTATTGTCCATATAGTCCTGTTTGTAACAAAATATTTTGTTTTTTCATCTTTTTCAATTTGAATTTCAGAATACCTTGAAACCTGTTATAAAAAGCCTGTTAAGATTTTCTTTGCAGTTGTGCTAAATTCATTTAAATTTTCAGGATGTTTCAGTACATTATTTTTCCTGTATCTAGTATTTTTCTGTTTTATAGTTTCCCATTCCTATTTTTATTTTGTAATGTGCTATTTTTAAGTTTCAAATACTATCATAAAATACATTTCTCTTCTTTTATTCTGTATCTCAATTTTTACTTATAACTTAAAGGTAAACAAGATAATATGAAGTGGCCTCTTTCAAATTGGTCACATTCTAGTGGTTGTACTCAGGACATTTTAATATAAAACCTCTGACTAAAACCACTGCTTTTAGAGCTAGCTACTATTATTTGTTTTCCTCCTGATCATGTATTTGTTGCCTTTTTTGTTGTGTTGTGTGTGTGTGTATATGTATATATATATGTACATAACCCTAATTGTAAAAGATGTGTGGTCGTATTTTTTTTTTTTTACAGTGACGATTTTTTGCTTCTGTTTATCTCTGTCTAATATAATAACCATGTAACACAATTTGTTCAGAGTCCTTTTATAACTGCCATGAAAGTTGCACCAAAATATAAGTATAGGCAGGGAAGCTAGTTTTAGGTATATTAGCCATTGGTTTATTATGGGCTCAAATAAGGATAGGTAGTTGAAAATTATTTGGATGTCTATATTCTGTTTCAAATTTGGAGTGATTTTGGACATGATAATTTCATTTGAATTAGGTCATTTCTGATGTTATTAATAAGTTGTTTTTTTAGATTTCTGCATTCTCCTTATTAATTCTTGAGCTTTGTAATTTCTAGGGTGTGTTTTCTCCCTGTGTCCTTCCCTAATCTTAAACCTGTTGCTCCTCAATTTGTGTGTATGCATATTTACATCTAAGGATTTTTCTGATGAATGCGCAGGGGCCAGTGCTGTACTTAGTTTTACTTTACTTTTGGCAGATTCTACTAAAAATTTTTAGCCCTGTTCCTTAAACTAAATGGGAACTTATATCTAAAGTAAGAATCTTAGTCATTGTAAATAAATGACCTAAAGTCATTATTGTGGAAATCAGTAAGAGAAATCCCTTTCTGGAGTTTCACATCTTTTTTGAAACTCATTTGGTATGATAGCTATATAACTGTAACACTTCTGAAGTAATTGGATTTGGTGTTTATATATCAGCTTTACAGTTTAAAAAAAAAAAAAAAAAATACCAGCATAGTACTTTGATTTTACATTACAACTTTGTATCATTAAAAATCAGTAGGGGCCGCGTGCGGTGGCTCAAGCCTGTAATCCCAGCACTTTGGGAGGCCGAGGCGGGTGGATCACGAGGTCAAGAGATCGAGACCATCCTGGTCAA